CCGAGCGGGGAGCCCGATGCGGGACTCGATCCCGGGACTCCAGGATCATGACCTGAGCCGAAGGCAGTCGCTCAACCGACTGAGCCACCCAGGCGCCCCTGTTCTTTTTTTTTTTAAGTAAGCTCTACTCCCAACGCGGGGCTTGAACTCATGACCCTGAGATCAAGAGTTGCATGCTCTTCCAACTGAGCCAGCCAGGCGCCCCCAGTATTTGTTCTTTCAGGGCTGGCTTATTTCACGTAGCATGATGTCCTCAGTTCACCCATGCTCTAGCATGTGCAGACAGGTTTGTCTACGGATAAACCAACCCCAGTGTCTGCTCTGGCACCTGAACCCCCGAGCCTCAGACATTCCGCTCCGAGTTCTGTGAGGACGGCACGGTCTTCGCTTCCTCATTTATTCAGCAAATGCTCAAGAGCACCTCCTGCATGCTGGGCCCTGTGCTCGGCACTGGGAGCGGAGCAGTGGATGAGATCGCCCACGTGGTGGGGACAGCCACCCTCCCTGCTGGGCAATGCCCCTTCTCAGACAGTCTTCCAGGAAAGTCATTTCTTTCCTTTCATGCCGTGGAAAATGAATTGATCAATCTTCCAAAAATGTTCAGGCTGTTTCAAGCTGCATTTGTAGCTACTCGGCTATTGATTTGCAGTGATGATTGTCCACTTTGTCCAGAGTCGGTCCTGGGGTGGGAAAGTACAGGAAGAGCCCCCAGAGGAGGGGATGAGAGGGATGGATGAGGTCAGGAGATTTCCAGATGTGGTTTCTATCTAGATATTGGGGGGTTATAAGCCCTGCCCCCACCCCAACACACACCCAAAGATGAGTTTGCCATCAAAACAGATCCACGGTTTGGGGCAGAGGGGAAAGATGAACACAGGGCCAGAGCTGTAGACAGTGGGCACTGGTTTGTGAAAGGTTAATCCATTTGCCAGGAAAACCAGAGGGCAAACAAAATTTTTATTTTATTTTATTTATGTATATATATGTATTTATTTATAGGATTTTATTTAGGATGCCTGGGTGGCTCAGTTGGTTAAGTGTCCGACTCTTGATTTTGGCTCAGGTCATGATCACAGAGTCCTGGATCGAGCCCCCTGTCAGGCTCCGAGCTCAGCAAGGAGTCTGCTGGAGACTATCTCCCTCTCCTCTGCTCCTCCCTTGCTCACACTCTCCCTCGAACTCTCTCTCTTTCTCTCCCACAGTAAATAAATATTGAGAGAGAGAGAGCGAGAGTGCGTGCAGGGGGAGGGGGAGAGGGAGAATCTCCATCAGACTCCGCTAAGTGCAGAGCCCGACCTGGGTCTCCATCCTAGGACCCATGAGATCATGACCTGAGCTGAAACCAAAAGTCAGACGCTCAACCGACTGAGCCACCCAGGCGCCCCTCTGCCAGACCATTTTAAATGACATTATGGCTCACATCAGGTGCCCCAAGATTTTTATTTTATTTTTTTATTTTTATTTTTTTAAAGATTTTATTTATTTATTTGACAGAAACACAGCGAGAGAGGGAACACAAGCCGGGGGAGCGGGAGAGGGAGAAGCAGGCTTCCGTGGAGCAGGGAGCCCGATGCAGGGCTCGATCCCAGGACCCTGGGATCATGACCTGAGCCGAAGGCAGACGCTTAACGACTGAGCCACCCAGGTGTCCCGTGCAAGCTTTTAATTCTTCCTTTATCCCATCAACTTCATTGACTGACTTGAAGGTTATTTGAAGATTATCTTTGTCTGGGATGGTATCACATTGGAATAAATAGCAACTTGCAGTGGTATTGTTTCTACTTCTTTTTGCACATCAATTCTTAAGGACTCTGAGGATGACTTTCCATAGTAACAGCAAAAGACAAGGGGACCACCTGGGCGCTTGGGGGGCTTAGTCAGTTGGGCATCCAACTCTTGGTTTCAGCTCAGGATTGAGCCCCATATCAGGCTCTGTGCTCAGCGGGGAGTCTGCTTCTCTGTCTCAAAGAAATAAATAAATCTTAAAAAAAAAAAGACAAGTGGACCATCTGAAAGAAAATTGGTTTTTCAGGAAGGTGAGTTCCAGTGGGTGGTAAAGGTGTGTGTGTGAGCGCATCATCACAAACTGTTAAAGACATATTGTGTGGTATGTGACTCTGTGAAGGGGGAGAGACGGTTTGAAAAGCTGATGTATATTGTAACCGGTGGGACTGTTGAACAACCATACGTGTGTGCTGTTGGCAAAAGGCCTTTTCAGACACAGGTGTATCCTGAATCACACTCTGCGATGTTGCGATCCTGTTGTCTCAGGGTTCTTGTTAGCCTGGTGTCCCAGGGTCCTGGGACCCTTGAGCCGATGGATTCTGCCCTTCATCTGGCGGCTTAGTGACCCAGTGTCAGTATTTACGCTGTATAAGAGTTTTCACCAACTGTTGCTCTCCTTGCCAGTCTCCATAACTTACCTCCTGACATCCTCATGGCTCCTAGAGGCAAGTGTCTTGAGATTTCAAGGAACAGAAACTTACTCAAATGAGCTCTGGTCACAGGCAGGGGGTAGATGACCATTAGAAGCCAGAGGTCTCCAGGGGCGCCTGGCTGACTCAGTCGGAAGAGTATGTGACTCTTGATCTCAGGGTTGTGAGTTCAAGCCCCACGCTGGGTTCGTAGAGATTATTAAAAAAAAAACCCAAAACTTAAAAAAAAAAAAAAAAAGCAGCAGGCGGGGTGCCTGGGTGGCTCAGTTGTTGGGCATCTGCCTTCGGCTCGGGTCACGGTCCCGGGGTCCCGGGATCGGGCCCCGCGTCGGGCTCCCTGCTCCGCGGGGAGCCTGCTCCTCCCTCTTCCGCTCCCCCTGCTTGTGTTCCCTCTCTCGCTGTGTCTCTCTCTGTCAAATGAATGAATAAAATCTTAAAAAAAAAAAAAAAGCAGCCGCCAAAGATCTCCAGAAACAGATCCCCCAGACCCCTGCAGTGGGCGAGTGCCAACACCCCTGGTGTCCGTCGGGGGCACGAACCTCTTGGGCCAGCAGCCGCCTTCCAACAGTGCGCCTGGCCTTGGGCAGGCACAGGGCAGGCAGAGTGACCGGGGTGACAGAGTGCCGTGCAGAGACTCCAGGTCCTCTCCCCACCGGGACCCCTCAGCTCGGAGGCCACAGGACGCTGTCATAGTCCCAAGGATGCTGCTTTTAAGAGTGACTTGAGGGGCGCCTGGGGGGCTCAGTTGGTTGGGCGACTGCCTTCGGCTCAGGTCATGATCCTGGAGTCCCGGGATCGAGTCCCGCATCGGGCTCCCTGCTCGGCAGGGAGTCTGCTTC